TTTTTCAGGTAAGAAGTCATCTTCCCCTGTAGGGGAAATTGAAGACATTCCTTTATATTTTCCTCCACCATCCGTCACTTTATAGGTATTTGACCCGTCAAGCATTGGCCTCCTGGCTTCTCCTGCTACTGTTGTACACATACATGTTGACAAAAGGAGTAGGTCCATTAAAAGGATTCCAGCATAGAACTTTCAGGAAGGTCCTTGAATCCCCAAATGTGGACAAATTGCATTCTGAATCTTCATAAGGGACTCCAGGTCATACCTGAAGAGCAGCAGGAGGGGCGTGTTCTGTCCTAAACCCTATGTCGGAGGCTTCTTTCCAGAGGAAAAATGGTTTTATATGTCCTCCAAGTTTGTTTCTGTACCATTAGTTCATTTTACAGGTAATCACTTCATTCTCATTAGCTCAACCTCAGCCTCATCAGTGTAACAGGCACCTGAAATATGAAATGTGGAGAGCCTTCTCTTATCTTTCATGGACTCGGGGTTTCTGCCCTGGAGTTGGGTACTTTTCTGCTGCTTCTGGAGAAGGGCCTGCCTTGCTCATGTGTTGGCAGATGGTTTTGTGTCCTGTGCGGGTTGGGGGGTGGATTCTGCTTCTTAGGAACCGTTTCCAACAAGAAAAAAAAAACACTTTTTTGTTCTCTCCCAGCAAGGACAGCAGCGCCTCTGCAAGCCACCGGGCTGTCTGTCCTCCTTGGGAGGCAATGGCAAGGGGCGTGCTTGGGACAGCAGCCTCTCAAGGTTAAGCAGTTAGTGAACTGATCCCGAGCTTCACTACCCAAGACTGTAGAAGAAAGCTTTTTAGAATGCCTCATGTGAGAAAGTCTGGGTTTGGCTTCTCTTTATGATGTTGCTGCTTCTCTCTCCAAAATCTTACAGATTTCTCTTACCTTCTTCCTTGGTGAACTTCCTGGGGGAGCCAGCCAGGGCGCCTCACCATCGATGGCCACAAGGGGGAGCCCGACGCGCTTCTTCCTTCCATCTGCTCTCTCTCTCGAACCTCTTTTAGGTCCTCCTGGGGGAGCCCGAGAGGCCCTCCAAGAAGACTAGGGGTTCTTCCATCCGGGCTTTTTCACGCTTAGAGGAAGGCGCGGGTGGGGGGAGGGTGAAATCTTACTGTCTTATTTTACTATTTATCCTAAAATCTGTCAGAGGAGCTAATGGACTGTAAGCAAGCGACTGAGTTTAAACTGAGAACGCAGGAGAACTATTTCATTAAAGTTGCCTGAAGACGTTCTTATCAATGGAATAGAACAGGAAGGAAGGAGAGAATTTTGTAAAAATTTGAGTTTTTGTAGAGCACAAAGTGGGGCTTGAACTCACAACCGCCGAGATGGAGAGTTGCATGCTCTACAGACTGAGCTGGCCAGGCATCTCCCAGGAGAGAATTTGGTAAGGGTTCTTTTCTCTTCTCTTCTCTTCTCTTCTCTTCTCTTCTCTTCTCTTCTCTTTTTTCTTTCTTCTTCTTCCTCTCCCCCTCCCCTTTTTTTTAATCGTGATTGTGTCTTGTCTCCCAGTGGGGCAGGTGCTCTGGCAAAGCCAGAGAGAGAGAAAACAAGGGACTGGGGAAGGAGTTCTCACAGAGGAGCCAGAGGCTTTCAGAGTTTGCTGATTCTAAGCTTTTTGCTGATACTTAAATGGAAAGAACAAACAAAGAATTCACAAGAGACTTGGCGAAGCTGCTGTGATTTGTGTTCTGTACTTAACCTATTTGAAGTTCAGTGACACAGAGCTGGCTGTGGTCTGGGAATGGGGAGAATGCTGATTTTGTCTTCACTCTGGGCTACTGGAGAGCTCCTTTAACTCCCTGGGACTGTTTCCTCTCCTGAAAAGTGAGAGTCCTTTTGTGCTTCCATGGGAGAGGCAAGAATCAGTCTCAGCTGACCAGTGCAGTTTCCTCTCCCCCTTGGCTCAGGAAACTCAAGTCAAACTCGAAGCTTTATTTAAGGAACTCTGCAGGACCCCAGGTTTGATATCTTGATGTTGTTTTCCTTCCTTGTTTTGACCTTCTGTTCTAACTTTTGTTTTCTCTGATCTTAGTGTTTTATTATTTTCCATGTTTTATATATTATGGTATACATTTTTTTTTTAAACACTGCGTCTCTTAATTCCTTGGTACTGAGCGTGGTGTAAATACACGGTAAAATGGGAGGGGAGTCCCACTAGAAGAGGTCCAGTGACCCCTCCCATACTGATGTTATGTGATTCTCAATGGAAAGGCCACTGCCTATGTCTGGAAGATACCAGGTTTGCATGGAAGGGAGCGATCCCACTGAGGGTCTTAAAGATTTTAAGAGGGGCGCTTGGGTGGCTCAGTGGGTTAAGCATCTGCCTTTGGCGCAGGTCATGATCCTGGGGTCCTGGAATCAAGCACCGCATCGGGCTCCCTGCTCAGTGGGGGAGTCTGCTTGTCCCTCTCCTTTTGCCTCTCCCCCTCTGCTCCCGCTCTGTCTCTCACTTTTTGTCTCTCAAATAAATAATTAAATCTTTGAAAAAAGATGACAGTCCGAGGGCATGTGAATATGTATTTTGGGGGTGGGAAAGGCTGGAAGAGGATAAGTGATGCCTCATCTATTCCATCCATGTGCTCATCTTGACTCTTTTTTTTAAGATTTTTTGTTTATTTGACAGAAGACACAGTGAGAGAGGAACACAAGCAGGGGGAGTGGGAGAGGGAAAAGCAGGCCTCCCACTGAGTAGGGAGCCCGACGCAGGGCTCGATCCCAGGACCCTGGGATCATGACCTGAGCCGAAGGCAAATGCTTAACAACTGAGCCACCTAGGCACCCCTCATCCTGACTTTTTATTGTACCGTGTACTTTGATGGGCTTGAATTCCTTTGAGTGTTTATGTAAGAACTAATTGTATCTGTAACATGTATATTAAAGACATACTCCTACTTTGAGTAAATTAAAAGCTTTAAACATATATACTAATACATACCAATTACTAAGCAGTTATTCATTTTCAAAATATCTCTTAACCAAAGGACCTAGCATGGGTTCCAGTAAACGTCTATGTGTAATATGTTTTGACAAGGACTTTCCCAAGAGCACCGCTCATCTGTAAACAGAAGAGCTATACTTGTTCCAGGGTCAGTCGATTTAGATTTCGTTCTGATTTGTGCCATGAAGGCCAATAATAAGCTGGAGGTATATGTTTTGAAGCCAGTGGTAAAAGTTTGCATAATTATTATCCATTTGTGAACATAAAGATTTGATGCTCTCTGGAATCCATAAATACTGAACGATTTGTTCCTTTCTGCTGTAAGTCAGATCTATTTTCCTTATGCCTTAAAATAGCCTGTTTTGAGTTTTCATTGGCCAGATTCCACTGGTTTAGTCCATCCTGTTAGTTTTCTTGAACAAAGTGATGCTACCTAACATTTTTTCAGACTTCCAGGACGTTCATCACGGGAACTCTTCCATGCTATGTCAGGGGATAATGAAAACTTGGACTTGAGGGCAGCAAGATTTGGTTTCTCCTCTGAGAAGGGTGGCAGGTGGGGGATCCCATTGATTTTTTTCTGTCAGAGATGCATCTGCTATCTGTAGATGTAAGGTTTGGATGTCTCTGTGTTTTCTCATCATAAGAGCTTTTGTTTATTCGTGCATGATTATGTCACTCCCCACCATAACATCTGAGGTGGGCACTAACTTACCACCATTTTACAGATGAGAAAACTGAGGCTTGGAGGAGGTGGTACATAGGTAAGTTGCCTAGGATTCCATATTGAATAGGAGGCCTAAGCCTAGCCTAAGATCAGGTCTGCCTGCTCCTGAGCTGATGTTCTTTTTTTTTTTTTTTTTTAATTTTATTTATTTGTTTGACAGAGATCACAAGTAGGCAGGGAGGCAGGCAGAGAGAGAGGGGGAAGCAGGCTCCCCACTGATCAGAGAGCCCCATGCAGGGTTCGATCCCAGGACCCTGAGATCATGACCTGAGCTGAAGGCAGAGGCTTTAACCCACTGAGCCACCCTGGCACCCCTGAGCTAAGGTTCTTAACTACAGCTGTAGACTACATCAGAGCCCATAAGCTGGAGAAGGAGCAGTCAAGCCTGGTGATAGAGATAGGAATAGAGAAATCCAGATAAAGGATATAGAAATCTGGTTCTGTAACTATAGGGAAGTATGTAGTAGATGAGTTCTGTGGGTCCAAGAGTTTGCTTGACTGAATTGGGGGGTTGGCACCATACTTTTCTCTTTGGAAAGACCTGGCTTGACAATGACCTCTACTAAGCATTTTTGCTTTTAAAATTTTCCACTACTTTTTTTTTTTTAACTGTATTTTGGCTATGAAGAGTTTATCTGTTTGCTTTACGGTCTATCTGTGTAAATTTGTCCCATTTGGAAATGAGAAATTCTGTTTTAATGCAAAGAGTTGACAGTGTTAAATGGCCCAAAAGTGTGAAGTTCGAAGAGCTCAAATAAAACAAGAAAATAGGATATACAGTGTTGAAATTTGAGGGAATCCACTAAATAGCACTTGCTCTTTCCTGCGTTCGTTTTGAATCAAGAAATAAGTCTACAAAGAGGAAGACATATGGAAACCATGGTATCCCCTTACTTAGGGATAAAGTGGATCTTGGAGAATGGGGATCACGACTGCAGCAGGCAGGGTTTCTAATGAGGTCCCCTCCCTGTCTCCTGAGCTCCTCCACGGAAAGCTTAGGACTCTGAGGAAACTGTTCCAGGCCAAGAGGTCGGGGCTTCGCTCCCTGTCTGGGTTTTCCTCCAGATTCCCCAGTCAGATGAGCCACCTCGTTGTTCCAGTGTTGAAAGGGGGGAAGGGCTGAGCGTGGCTGGGAGTTTGGCCCTGAAGGAAATGGAAGAAACCTCAGGAAAAGGGCAGATGCATTGTGTAACAGATTGGAAGGAGAAGCAGAGCCTTGGTTCTCCCTCTTCGGGAAGCAATTCGATAATTGTATTCAGCATCTATAAATATGTCAGCAGGTAAGTAAATTAATTTGCTTTTGTTCTGTTTAAACTTTTAGATTCTTGGCTATCAGAATACCATCTTCTTTGGTGGAGACTGTATATCCATGATTGATTACCTCTTTTGGCCCTGGTTTGAGCGGCTGGATGTGTATGGAATTGCCGAGTAAGACCTTTGACTATGGGGTTGCATTGGGTAGCAAACAGAATGGCCAGCCATTCACCATGGAAACGTAGGGATGTTTAAAATAGAAGAAATTCCCTGGTGGACTCGGGGAGACCATGTAGGGTCCCCAGGCAGAACACGTGCTTTGTTCCCATGATGCTCTGAGACATTGAACTTGGGTGGGCACCTGCTGGGCTCCCAGACAGTCACAGGGTGGGTGCCGGACAATTCTGGCATTGGGGAACTGGTTGGGGAACTGGGTCCGGCTGAGGCAGAACTACATCTGTACCCTCACAATGCGTGGGCTCGAACCCACCCACCTTCCACTTTAACTATCTCCGATGAAAGGTCAGATAGAACATATTTATTTGTTTATTTTTAAGATTTTATTTATTTATTTGTCAGCGAGAGAGAGCACACAAGCAGAGGGAGAAGCAGGCTCCCTTCTGAACGAGGAGCCCGACCTGGGACTCAGTCCCCAGATCCCAGGATTATGACCTGAGCTGAAGGCAGACACATAACCGACTGAGCCACCCAGGTGTTCCCAGATAGAAAGTATTTAGATCTTTTAAACTATGTGTCAACATAAACATGACCAAAACCTGTCTCCTCTGGGGACAGAGTACCGAGCCATGGCCCGGGAACCTTCCCCTCCTGGATTTTCCACTAACCAGTTGTACTATCTTGTGCGAGTCACATGTATATCCTAGACCTCCACTTCCTGGTCCATCTTGGAAAGGACTCAGTCAGCTCCAGTACTTCAAGGTTTGATGATGGTTTTGCTGACTTTTAAAAAAGTGTTTTTGGAAACTACTTGTCTTTACTTTTTTCAAACTCCCTGCAGTAAAATCTAAGAATGACAGGGGGTTGTCTTTTTTTGGGGATAAACAGGGAAGCCCACACACTTAATTTCCCCAGAACAGTCAGCCCACATGTATTTTAGCGGCATTGTTAAAAGCAACAACAACTTCCATGATTCAAAACACACAGAGCTGTTCCCCAAATAAGATTTTCCTCCAGGACATGATCATGATCCGTTGATGATAAGGTAACTAAGATAACTTTATAAACCAGCCTTTTGTGTCTTGTAAATCTAAAAAGCCACTCATGCCACGTTTCCCGATGGCCTCCCTTGCAGACGAGCTAACGGTTCTTTCCTGTCCTGCAGCTGTTTGAACCACACGCCAGCACTACGGCTCTGGACAGCAGCCATGAAGCAGGACCCCACGGTGTGCGCTCTTCTCATAGATAAGAACATTTTCTTGGGCTTCTTGAATCTTTATTTTCAGAACAACCCTGATGCCTTTGACTATGGGCTAACTTGCTGAGCCTCAGTCCATCCCTTCACCATCCAGAATTCCCAAGCATGTCGTGACTCTGCATCAGGAATTGTTTTGGTGGGTCAGTCAATCTGTTCGTTTTCTTTGAGGTTCCCAATAAACGTGGAGACAGAAAATGGATTCTTTCTGATAATCCGTTGGTGTGACTCTTCTGGCCCATACCTTCTAAAGATCCCCTAGAAATCTCTAGTGCCCAGTGCTAATGCCCAAGCACATTTGGGAGACTGGGAGCCTGTGTGCCTTCTGGTTCCTTGGCCTTTGGCTCAGTGTAACCTCCAGATTATTGGGGTTGATGCTAATGTGGAGGTTCAAGGCCTGTCCATCGGTAATGTTCATCACCACAGATCAGCACTGTCCACAACCTCCCTGGTGAGCGGAAAGCTAGAGAAGAGGAGGAAGAAGAAAACACTCCAGGTCCCAATCCTCTCCATTTGGCACACAAGAGCTGCCATCCACATGGGCACATGTGAGTGTCATTCACGTTCCCACTTTGGTGTGGGCCTGTGAGACTCCGAGGGTCTTATGACTCAAAGAATTCCAAAGCAGGAAATGAAACACCCGTTGTCCACCCAGACTAACGACGTCAGGATTTCACTGGTGCTGTCCGGGCTCAGGATGGCTCACAAAATGTTCCACAGCCAACATCCTGCCTTGAAAAAAGAGACACGCCCCAAACCCAGTCCAGGCAAAGGTCACTTTGTTGGATTTGCGTCACACACACTTTCAATTTGTCCCAACAAATGCCTCTGGTTGCCTGCTGTATACCAAGCCCCGGACCCATGATGGGTAAAGGCAACAAAAATACAGGAGCCTCCCGGTCATTCTACTCCTCTTGGTTGAGGTACTTTGGAGCCGCTTGTCTTGGCCCCATGTGGTGTCTCCACTGGCTCTGCCCAGCGTTGCTCACCACGGACGGTGACAAAGCTCCCAGGAGGGTGGCCGGGGGTGCTGGCAGGTACCCAAGCCTGGAAGCTTCTGTCCTTTACCCCACAGGAGTGGAACAGGCCTGTCCGGTGCTATTTTATCTCAGGGTCTGGGGATCAGCCTGTGATCATTTCAGCTGTGTTCACGCCTCATTGTTTCTCAGCCTCTCGGCCATGCAGGCAGTAGAGGATGTGATGTTCTGCTTGTCAGTGCCCACTGAGGCGCTGTCTCCAGCCCCTGCCTCTGACTCAGCCCAACCAGCCCAGTTTCTCCCCACATCTCAGCCTGGCCTGGCCATCTGCTGCCTCTGGGTGGATTTTGACTCATGTAAATAGTTACCAGTGTGACTTGGAGCCAGTTGGACGGACGCAAGCCTGCGGTGAGGTGGCCTGGTGGGCCAGAAGAGGCTTCACATGACGTGGGCATCTCAGGAGGGGGCGCCCCCATTGCCATGGCACTGGAGCCAGTGCAGAGTAAAGTATGTGAGTCACATTTTCCTGGGATCTTTGCTGGGCCCCTGTCACCTCTCCTAGGACATGGGGACTGACGGGTCTGTGGGTGTAAATCCTGTGTGCTGGCCGGCATTTGGCGTGAGACCGAGATTGTTGTTGACACCACAGATAATGGCATGTCTCTGGACGACCAAAACCAAAGATGTTCGTTTTGGGGCTGTACATACTAATTTTGAAGCTTGAAGAACCAGGCTGCATGGGATGAGAAACGTGCTCGCGGGGAGAGATGGCAGGCTGGTGGCACACAGCCCGGTTTGGGGTGTGGAAGCCTTTCGTCCAGGCGGGCTGTCTGCCAGCTTGCCTCCGTCACCTGCGCCGCCTTCCACGTCTCCCTTCTTTATGTCACCCTCCTGCCTCGCCGACGACTCGGTTGTCAACCTCTGGATAAAACTACAAGGGTTTAGCCTGGAGACAAGAGGCAATTAAATCATGCTCCGTGAGGAGCGTTTCAAATCCTGTGCCTTATATTGCAGGAGACGGCAGAAATAATATATCAGGCTTTTAAAAGAAATGCAACAATGAAAAAAAAATAGGGATTGTTCCACCATCTCGTGTCGCAGAGATAACCACTTTTAACAGTTGGTGTATATCTTACGAAAGCATGTTAAACCTACAGGTTTAAGGTGAAAGCTGTTCTCTGTCCTGCAGAGTGGAAAAAGAGAAAAATAGTTGGAATCACAGCATTTGGAAGAGCCTCGTTGTCATACATGAAGTTGACATCGGAATCTGTGACCAGAGGAGGTTCTGGGAAGCTCGCTTCCTTCAAGGTTCTGAGCTGGAGCCCATCTGCACCGAGTCCAGTGACATCCTGATGCGGTTGTGGGTGGGGTGGGGTGGCTGGGACAGCTGGCAGTGGTTGGGGTGGGTGGTGACTCAGTGTTACTTGAAGTTCCTTTTAGCTCTAAATTTCTCCAATCTCAAGACAACGCAGTTGTCGACTGTTCATGTGCATGAAGTCTGAATTATAGTATCCGAGCTAGAGTGTGTTGCTCCTGTGTGTGCCTCCACGTCGCTCTCTGGAGCTTTGGTGGCAGGTGGAAGTGGTGGTGGTGGGGTGTCTCTCTCCCTGATTCCTCACTTTCATGTCTTGCCTGGTCCACGTTTTGTCAAAGTCAGTGGCCTTCTAGATGCAGGGGTTCTGTGCTGCTCGGCCTTCAGAACCAAGCTTATACCTCCTGTGGTTTATGTGGGCCTGGTTCCATTTTTTTAGCTAAAATCTTCACAAATAACCAAATACCCAGCTCAAGGAGGGGGCTGGTTCTTATAGATCAGCCTCCAGCCCCTTTCTCCCTTTCCCCCACATACCAAACACTCTGCCCACCCAGGAGACTCATTTCCTATTCATCTTCCTCTGCGAGTCCCTGGAAGCCTGGACATTTTTTTTTTTTTCCAAACATTTTGCTCACCTCTGGCTCCTGAGAGTTCTTGAACCTCTGCTCATGCTGTTGTCCTTACTCTGCAGCCTTTCTCAGAACAGACTCTGGTTTTGTTTTCAACCAGCCTTTTCTCTTGCAAGTTCAGATACAAAATTCTTTTTTGTGCCAAGAGATACTGCACCAGCATGCGTAAGAATAGGGCTGTTCGATCAGACATACTGAGTTCCAGTCCTAGCTCATTAAATTCTGTTGTGTAACCTCTCTGAGCATCAGTTTCTTATCTGTAAAATGGGACAGTGAGTTTTATTTCGTAGGGCTGTTGAAGAAAGATGAGACCCTCCGTGAAAGGGCTCAGCACCTGCCAAGTAAATGCTCAGTGGGTGGCCGGCAACCCTGTTATCATGGCGAGACTCCTGCAAAAGATCAAACCTGACCTCTGTGTTCATTTTCCCATCACTTTGTGGGACAAGATGTCCTACGCTGCACATGGCTTGATTCATGGTTTGGAGTGTTTTCTGGTTCCGTGCGTGTGGGCGTAATCTCAAATGACCTGTGAGCCCTTGGAAACTGGGACTTTTGTCTCTCTTCCTCCCCTTCCTAGCACCCCAAGCCTAGCTGGTGACTGAGTCCCCAAATCTTGCCACATTGTCGATGACGGGAACATACAGACCCTTTCCCCTGTTGTGAAGTGCTCCGAATCCTGCTTCTCTGCCCTCCTGGAGTGTGTTTAAGTAGAAGCGTCTGAAATGACCAAAGTCCTGCACGGTGATGAGTCAGCTTGAGGGCTGTGCTGCGTGGAACACACAGGCACCCCTGGGGGCATGCTGCTCGGGGAAAGGACAGGTGCTCCAGGCAAGCATCATGGAATACTCTGTCTTGTCACTGCCTCCCAAGGATTCAGCACTTCAAGAATCCCTTTGCAGACAGTGGGGTCCCGGCAGGGACCTTGTCGGTAGCAGACGGTACGGCTGAAGATCAAGGGTCTGTTTCCTGGCATCGGGGCAGGCTGGCAAGTGGGTTTGCAAGCCTGTCGGGCCCATGACAAAGCAGCCGAGGCAGGTTCCGACCTGCAGCTCGCCCAGGGGAGCCAGAGCAGTCCCTGTCCTGGGAGTTTCCGAACTAGGGTTTCCGACTGGGGTTTCCGAACCTAGCATGGCGATCTGTCATGATTTATCAAAGGAGCAGCCTTTGATAAATCTGGGTTTATGCTTCCAAAGCCGGGGAATATTGGGTTATGCTCAGGGATTTAGGAAGTCTCTCAAAAGGGGTGTGTGTGTGTGTGTGTGTGTGTGTGTGTTTCTGTGCATTTCTGCCATAGGAGGAAGGTACCAGGATAAATAATTAGAAACTGTATAGATAGTAAGGGCAGGAATCATTTTTTTTAAAAGATTTTATTTATTTATTTGACACAGAGAGATCACAAGTAGTCAGAGAGGCAGGCAGAGAGAGAGACGAGGAAGCAGGCTCCCTGCCGAGCAGAGAGCCCGATGTGTGGCTCGATGCGGGGCTCAATCCCAGAACCCTGAGATCATGACCTGAGCCCAAGGCAGAGGCTTAACCCACTGAGCCACCCAGGCGCCCGGCAGGAATCATTTTTTAAAATTCCGTCCTAAAATAAAATGATAATTGGCTATTCATTTGCTCTAGAAAGGCCCTCTTTGGGGACTTTATCTGGGACAACCTGATGGCAGCAGGGGTGGGGTAGGGACGACGGACATCCCAGTTGCAGTAGAGCAAGAGCTGCCTAACCTGGAAGGCAGAGGAAGGGCTGCGTGGGGCTCTGCTCAGGCTTCTGGTGTTCCGTGGAGGAAGGAACCCAAGGTAGAGTCAACAGAAAACTTCTGTTTATGGTTTTTGTCTGTTCTATTTGTTGTCTTTGAGTTTATTGTACAAGTCCTAAGCTAAGTGCTTCCCATGTGACCTTTTTACTTAGTCTTCTCAGTGGCTCTGTGCGGTGGATAGTATCATCCCCATTTTACAGAAGAGACTGAGACAAAACCAGGGCTCATAGACATTACAAAGACTTGCTGAGCTAGGTCATGGCACAGCTGGGATTTGAACACAGAGCCCAAGTTCTCAGTCCCTGTGTCACTTGTACGGTTTGGAATCTCAGACTCCTTGGTCTTTGCATGGCTTTGTCATAGGAGATGCTGGGTGTCTAGTGGGCGGTACCTCACATGCAGGTCTCTATTTTGGGTGGGTGCGTGCAGTTAAGGGCAGGGGTCCCTACTTCCTTGTCTCTCTCTGGATCTTGAAACATTCAGGTTGAGCGATCTTGCTGCTTGAAGTCTGGTTCTGGATG